CTGATTGGTTTGTCGTATTTTCGCACATAACATTCATCGATAGGGGGACGAGTCTTCTTGCAGGTGACGGAAAGGGTCGAGTGGTGACGAATGTTATGGAGGGTAGTCCGTCATCATCTGACCTCAGGTCATCCCCATGGAGTAGCTGGTATTCGATCTCACACATGTTTGATACCAGTTATCTCAAACGGGTTTCTCACCCACAGGTATGTAAATACAAAACGCCAGACAATAACCATTATCGAGAATCTGACGGAACAGATTCCATTGGGGGCGCACGAGGTAACAGCAGTGAAAATAATATGAATGGTTCACTGAAAATCAGTGAAAGAGAGTGATTCTTCTATAAAATATATTCTGTAATCAGCGGAACAATACTTTTTTCGGTCTTATAGCAGACCCAAATAAATGTTTGGGACCCCAAATCCATCATTATTTGGAACATCTAGTTTCGGGAACAGCTTATATTTGTTACAAACACAACCTCAGCACCTGTCCCCTCTCCTTTACAGGGTAGCTAAAAAAATATTCTAAAATAGCCCCACACCTAAATGTTTCTTTATGAGGAAGTAGTGTGAAAAACGACTTTCTCAGCTCGAGTTCCGACTTTTCGTATGAAGAGCCCAAGGGGGGTGGGTTGGCTAGGTCAAAGGTGGTGAAGTCATTCAGTGCATCGAGTTTACTTTTATATATTTTTTCTTTGTTTGTTTGTTGTTTAACGCCGCAATATTCAAGCTATATGACGGCGGCCTGTAAACAATCGAGTCTGGAACAGACAATCCAGTGATTGATATCATGAGCATCGATCGACGCAATTGGTATACGATGACGTGCATCAACCAAGTCAGCGAGCCTGACCACCGGATCCCGTTAGTCGCATTTTACGACAAGCATGGATTTTTTAAGAACTATTCCACCCCGGGTCTCCATGGGTCGATAGACATGTAACATACTGAAGAAATACATCCAAGTCATCGTGCCAGGATCTTTACTCAGGTTTGCTACGGTGAGTGTAATCGATAGTTTTATGACACTGGTGTGCCATTGTGGCCTTGCCTACATAACGAGTGAGTGAGTGAGTGAGTGAGTGAGTGAGTGAGTGAGTGAGTGAGTGAGTGAGTGAGTGAGTGAGTGAGTGAGTGAGTGAGTGAGTGAGTGAGTGAGTGAGTGAGTGAGTGAGTGAGTGAGTGAGTGAGTGAGTGAGTGAGTGAGTGAGTGAGTGAGTGAGTGAGTGAGTGAGTGAGTGAGTGAGTGAGTGAGTGAGTGAGTGAGTGAGTGAGTGAGTGAGTGAGTGAGTGAGTGAGTGAGTGAGTGAGTGAGTGAGTGAGTGAGTGAGTGAGTGAGTGAGTGAGTGAGTGAGTGAGTGAGTGAGTGAGTGAGTGAGTGAGTGAGTGAGTGAGTGAGTGAGTGAGTGAGTGAGTGAGTGAGTGAGTGAGTGAGTGAGTGAGTGAGTGAGTGAGTGAGTGAGTGAGTGAGTGAGTGAGTGAGTGAGTGAGTGAGTGAGTGAGTGAGTGAGTGAGTGAGTGAGTGAGTGAGTGAGTGAGTGAGTGAGTGAGTGAGTGAGTGAGTGAGTGAGTGAGTGAGTGAGTGAGTGAGTGAGTGAGTGAGTGAGTGAGTGAGTGAGTGAGTGAGTGAGTGAGTGAGTGAGTTTGGTTTAACAGTACTTGAATTATTTGACGGTGTGTCAGCTTGATGTGGGAGGAAAGCCCGAACAGATTCAGTATACAGCACTACCAGCTTTTATGCTGACATCCAGAGCTGGGCGGACGATATTCATATTGGGTTTAAAGGAGTAAAAACGTTAATACAGATTAAATCAAACACATTTTGCCTCATGCGAAGATTTCTGTAAGGTAACTCATTTTCTCATTCGACTTTGATTAGAAAACAACCTTTTGATGTTGAAAATCGTGAACAGACTGATGAACATGTGTGTGTTACGCCATATAATACCGTATTTACACACCTAAGTTAATTTTCACGTGATCGCATACTCACTTTACATATACACGCACGTGCACGATTACTTACATGAGCAAATGTCGTGCATGAGAACGGGTATATTAGACGTGTACCAGTCTGGTGAATCCCGGGCACGGGTATTGTGCTGACAAACCTAGAAACATACATGTATATATCAGGGTGGATCTGGGCTTCGACCAAACTACGATACGTTTCTCGCAATTTGTTTATATATGTGTGTATATATTACCCAGTGCAGTGCAGATGTTACGTGGTTTCACTGGATGAATCTTTCAACGATCGATCCCTTCACAATAGTTCATACAACCTGATTAGCGATTTGGTTACAAACGTTTCTTTTTTGTGGCTCATAGTGACCAATTTGACATCGAACAACATTAACAAATGGGACATGACTGTCGACAGCGTGTGTCATAGTCACGTGAACGAGTGAAACTAGAGACTCATGTTCCAAATGGATTCCTCCTACTGCTGGCCGAGATACTTGTCATTCGCCGAGTGGATATTTACGACATGACATATAATACGCTGAACGATGGAACAATTTTACTCATATGTGTAAATATACTCACGTAAATAGAATGTATGTGTCATGCGAACACATTTGCTCACGTAATATTACTTCAGGTGTACATCTGCCCCTGGTTCGGGATGATGTAAAAGTACATTCACACATGAGCAAATTTGCTCAACGTCTAAAATCATCATGCCGACTCTTAGCAATATTACTCATGTGAACATTTTATTTTACCTTAAATTCTACCTTTTTTATCTTGAACATTCAAGGCAACAGTGTCATTTCAAAGCAGAAAGTGAAACCTTTGGAAGTTCATTTGTCGGATTCAGTTTCTCTTGTATTTTCAAGTTTGTATCATATTTTTTCAAGATCGCATCTTGAATTTCAAGATAATATAAGATAGTTTTCGAAATTCTACTTAATAAGTTTAAATTTTTAACTTAACAACTTGAATTGTCAAGAGGAGAACATGCATTGCCAAGATTGTCATCTCGAATTTACAGATTTTGCAAGATAATACAAAAAATGACATGGTCCTAATAGGCTCCCGTACGTTATAGTCTGTCATACATATTTTAGTCTAGACATGACATATATTACAAGATACATTTTGCTTCATCTCTTGGTCAACTCCGATGATTTCAATCAGCATCGGGTACGACTGCGAATGCGACGACAAATATCTAAAGGAAAAGAAAGGCCAATCCTGAACAGACGAGGAACCACCTTCGCCTTTTGTCAAAGGACCTGAATCCGGATTTGTTTTGTTGCCCAACGTCGCACTCAGAAATATCCCAGCTATATGACCAGGTCGAACAATATATAAATATCTGGATCATACTCTCCTGATGTTGTTTGTAAATATAAAACTCTCCCGTGTTTTAAGGTGAAGAATTGACTTGCCTTTGGGTGTGTTTTATTAGTGACAAGACATGAAATATATGCCTTGGTAGCACACCAAACAGCATATACTATAGGATCTGATTGTGATCCTGTGTGGGTAGACTATGACTATAGGTAGACAATCAGACGCACGTAACATATCTGTATCTTCAGTCTGTTTGTTTGTTTGTTTTTAACACTGTGCTCAGCAATATTCCAGCTATATAACCAGAGTCATGGTGACACCTCCCTTAGTTCGGTCAAGTATCATAACTGTCAACATGAATACTATACGGAGTTACATCCCTTGGCCCTCTTCAGTCTGTTTGTTTGTTTGTTTGTTTGTTTTTAACACTGTACTCAGCAATATTCCAGCTATATAACCAGAGTCTTGGTGGCACCTCCCTTAGTTCGGTCAAGTATCATAACTGTCAACATGAATACTATACGGAGTTACGTCCCTTGGCCCTCCCAGGACCAGCAGATGGAGTGTGTGGCTACTCTCAAATCACCACTGTGGCAAGTGGGTAGTGGAAACGTCATAGTAATTACGAAAACACCATGCATGTGCGTCTTTATGTTTATTACAAACTATAATAGTAGAAGTAGAAGCATGAACACACAATGCCATTTAGAAAGTGGTCAGATGTAGCAAGTGTTATATTTGGGATAACACTTTCTTTGTAAGGTACAGATGCTCGTACTTTTTTGGGTTGAGTCCCGTCCGGGATTCGAACCTACACCGCCAGAGTGAGGCACCTAATCGCGAACCCACAAGGTCAGCGTGGATGCCTCGGTGGCTGAATCGGTTAGATGGCTGTGTAGTAGTAGTAGTAGCAGTAGTAGTAGTAGTAGTAGTAGTAGTGTTAGTCGTTGTAGTAGTAGTAGTAGTAGTAGTAGTAGTAGTGTTAGTCGTTGTAGTAGTAGTACTAGTAGTAGTAGTGGTGGTGGTGGTAGTAGTAGTTGTAGTAGTTGTAGTAGTAGTACTAGTAGTAGTAGTGGTGGTGGTGGTAGTAGTAGTAGTACTAGTAGTAGTAGTAGTAGTACTAGTAGTAGTAGTATAGGTGGTACATGTAGGTGTACCAGTAGTAGTAGTAGTGGTGGTAGTAGTAGTTGTAGTATGTAGTACTAGTAGTAGTAGTAGTAGTAGTTGTAGTAGTGGTGGTGGTAGGTGTAGCAAAAGTAGTTATAGTGGTAGGAGGAGGAATGGAATCAGTTATAGTAACAGTAGCAGTAGGAGTACAAACTGCAGTTACAGTAGCAGTTGACAAGTGGGTAGTTACAACGTTATAATTATACATAAAACACGATGTGAAAATTTCATTCACAAAGACAACTTAGAAACAGCGAAGGAATAACATGCATGTATATATATATATATATATATATATATATATATATATATATATATATATATATATATAGTGCCAAGTTATGTGAAGCCAAGCTTGTTTACAACAACTACCAACCTTTGGGGAACGTCATGAAATAGTATTTTCCAGCCAGTAGGCATGCCATCGATGTATAGAGCTTATGAAAAGAGTTTTTGATAGATAACCTCATTTGCTTAGTCATCGGATCTCGGTACAGAATTATAAGGTTTGTTAAGCGTATCTCTTTACGAAGCAAGAACACTGAAGACGGAAATGATTGTTAGAAGAACAAGGTGATGATAACTATACTGAAATGAAACTGCACCTGTTGTAGGTTCAGTGTCAGATTCAGTAGCAGGTGTAGTAGCAGGTGTAGTAGCAGGTTCAGTGTCAGATTCAGTAGCAGGTGTAGTAGGAGGTTCAGTAGTAGGTTCAGTAGTAGGTGTAGTAGCAGGTTCAGTGTCAGATTCAGTAGCAGGTGTAGTAGGAGGTGCAGTAGCAGGTTCAGTAGTAGGTGTAGTAGCAGGTTCAGTGTCAGATTCAGTAGGAGGTGTAGTAGGAGGTGTAGCAGCGATCCCCAACTCGCAATTACAGGATTCAAAGTCCAAGAGAAACTCCAGAGTTTTGAAGTTTGTTCTTTCATAGAGGTAACGCCGTCCGTGTTCCCACTCCGCTCCCTGGAAGCACGGATGTTCCCTCGCAGCCCTGACAGCAGGCACGCACTCCTTGAGACAGTCGCCCGTAGCAGCACAACTGCCAGTGACGTTGATGATGATAGTGTCGAGTGGGTTTCCAACCGATGGAACATATAAGCCTGCCCAGTCACAGGTGCTGTTGTCAGGCTTGGAGACTGCGTCGGGGGCTGTAGGGGGTGCTGAGGAGGGTGCAACATCTTCACACTCACACGACCGTAACTTCATGAGAAACGTGATGGTGATCTTCATCCTAAACAGTGTATAGATGTTATATTTCCATATATCGCCCTGGAAACATTTGTGCTGCTTTGTTGTCTGAATGGCGTTGTAACATGCCGGCGAACACTTCTCAAACAAGTTGCAAGTGGTGTTCACAAGGACTTGAAGCTGCAATAATTCGGGGTCGGATGAAATCGTCTTCCAAGCACAACCTTCGTACGTGTCCTCAATGCCAAGCATGCATTTAGGAATACTCTTGAAGTTGGTGAGGAATGGTCTGTTGGAGTTCTGTTGAGGGTAGTAGGTGATGAAACTGTAGCACATCTCGTCGGACGTCGCAGAACCGAACATCGTTGTCGTAGACTTCTTGGAGGATGCGAACTCACAATGCGTCCTCAGCTCGTCACCAGGTCGGATCTCAACGGGCTCACTGAATCTGTGCATAAAACATGGACAATCACCAATACTATTTATAACTTTCAACAGTGACTTATAGGTGAGGTGAGGTGAAATTGGGTTTAACGTAACGTCCAAGATTATTGCACTTATATAGCGACGTGCATGTACGTGTATGTGTGTGTGTGGCTGCTTGTACTAGTCCGGACTGATGCCGATTTATAGTGCTAGCTCACTGAGATACCATGCCGCAGTTTAACATGAATACCCAACTCAGACACAGTATACTGACTCCGAGCCGACCAGTCCTTGTTTTAGCCCCTTAATGCCGAGCGCCAGACAGGGTAACAACAAGTACAATCTGTTAATGTCTTTTTGTATGACGCGGCCGGGGATCGAACCCTGGACCTTCCGCTCTCCGGGCGGACGCTCTACCACTAGACCACGGAGGCGGTAGTGACTTAGTGACCACATAGGATCGACACCTTATTTTAGGGTCGGTCGGGTTATCAGAACCACATCATTTTAGACCTGTGTTTTAGAGAGGATTGCTTTTCCTTCTTTTGTTTTTCAACAAATGTCTAAGAATGTTAGCATAAAATCGCCTTGTACCGTACAGGCATTGGAAACAGGCATGAGTTTGGTTCAGCGGTATTCAGTTATACCACGGCTTGTGAGCTCACCGTAGGACAGTCAAACATGCAGTGAACTTTAACCATATAAGTGAACCCCTTGCGCACGGGTATGGGACCAGCGAATCCTGACACAGCAAAGGGAAACAACTTTGGGCATATAGTTGCAGCTCCTTAGATCATTGGACGGCACAGCTACAGAGTATGGGACACCAATCCACCTTGTTTCCTTAATTTGATGCTGCTATATGCAGCAGAGCACGACAGCTGGCTATTTGTAAAATAGGCGATGAAGCTCAAATATGCAGAAATGAATACCCTGCTTGAATTTGTTTGGTTTTATTATTAGACTTCCAAATTTAATATCAAAGCCGTTAAGAAAGATAAAACATTGGACATGAACATTGAAACATTAAATAGTGTCGTGAGGCAACCGTATCAGTGACATCCATTGGTGTCACATTCCAACAAACACATGGTATATTTTATTAACTTTGAAACTAATACGACGTTTACTTAAGATAGCATTTGTTTCAAGCCGTTTTGGCTAACCCAAAGTATGTTTGTTGAAGGTAAAGTTCAAGATAATGCTACGAAAGCCCGAAACAGACATCTTTTAACTACGGCTCTGAGATCAACAGCAGTTAAATGGGCGGTTGCACAGTATACATATGCAGGTTTATTTTGCACAAACATAAAAGACAACCTCATTCGTATTGTGGATAGATCGGATGCCTGTAGCTGAGTAATTTTAGAACATTGTAACAATTCTTGTTACACAGTAATATTCTTTATATAAATCTACTGTGAATAATTTTTTTCCATTTAAATGTTACATTCCGACCTATGTTAAGATGTACTAGGAAATAGAGGTGAATTATTCCAAACTAAAAGAGATTTTTTGACACTTATGAAGACCAGCTTTGGTCTGTCACAAGCCTGACCTTCAAACTTTCAATCCAAATTTTGATTATTTATTATATATTCTCTAAATATTATGTAATCTTAATGGTAGAAATATCCTTTATTGGTCCAAAATTGGTTTTTTTAAAACATATTTTTTAACCCAAACAGTCTTGTCCCAAACGCGGATGTCCCTACTTTTTCCTGCCAACTGTTTTTTTTTAATTAGAAAACAAAAATGTCTCCGTAAGGCTGTCCTGGGGTTACTCCCTCTTTGGGAACAACCCCCAAACACAGAGAGTGAAAAATAGAGACGGCCATGACGTGTCCAACCCCAAGCAATTATGAGCAAGTATAAAAGTAATTGTCCTAGCTGCTACATGGTCAAACCAAGACTAGCCAACAACACAGAGAATGACAAACACAGAAAACAGTCATCCCGTGTCCAAGCTTTAGTCTTTATAATAATAATTCTCCCTACTGTTACATTGTCAAAAATCAAAACAAAAACATATTTATATATATTCTCACTCATAAAATGCATGAAAAAGAAGGGTTAACTAAAAGGGAATTTGAAATAAACAGCCATTGGTGAGCAAAAATTAATTGGTATATTTGGTCTTAACTGTTATGTCTCTACTGTTGCATAACAGTGAGTATATGTGGGACAACAGTCGGGAGACATTATGTACTGTATGGACAACAGGAACAGTGTTTGTGTTTTCATGTTTAATTGAGGATGTTTGTAATGTACATTAATATAGGGGCGGTCGTGGTTAAAGCGTTCGCTCGTCACGCCGAAGACCCGGGTTCGATTCCCGACATGGGTACAATGTGTGAAGCCCATTTCTGGTGTCCCCCGCCGTGATATTGCTGGAATATTGCTAAAAGCGGCGTAAAACCATACTCACTCACTACATTAATATATTGATGAATTGATAGATAGATGGTGAATCCATTTTCTCATTGTTGAAAGGTGATGAAATGTGTCACTCCTTTTGACAGTTCTTTTATTTTATTGCAGTGTAACAGTAGGGACAGACGTGGATGATGGGGTTATATTACTTTAAAAATTTGATATTTGTTTATCGTGAAATTTGAACCTTTAAAGACAAACAACACAAAGGAATAGTCGTCTAAGGCGCCGCGATTCGCTGTGCAGAGTTGCGTCCCTTGGGCACGCCAGAAACCTATGATTGTGGGTTCGAATCCTGGTTCGCCCCGATTATGTTTCTAGGTTTGTCAGCACCATACCCGTGCTCGTGGGTTTCACCGAAGTGGTAAACGTCAGAGACCTGCATCACTTCGGGTTTTCCTCCAACATTTAGCTGACGTTAAACCCAACTAACTAACTCACTCACACTTTTATATCATATCCAGCAGTCCAATTATTTGACATCAGTGTTCACTGTAGTGACTATCTTTTGAAACTTAGTGTGTGTAACAGTGGGGACACATTAATGTAACATTAAGGACAAAATTATTCTAAAATATCACTTGATGTTTCATTCGTTGTTGTAAAGTTTCAAATGTATCTTGTATAAAAGGTATATTGTGTCATATTAATCAAAACGTATATATTTTGATTCAGATATTAACAAGAGTAGGAACTTAACTTCAGATAACAGACAAACAGACAGACAGGTTTATTTGCATTAAAGGCCACGTGACCTAAAGTACAAAACTTTTTACATCATAATTTGAGTTACCACATGAAGATATACAGACTCAAATTAACAAAATTACTTATTAAGCGGAACCGTTCTTAAAAGATGTGTTACTGGGTAAATGGCCATAATACATTCATTAACTTCAGATAATTTGACATGTGTAACAGTAGGGACACCAAAATGGAACAGTTTGGACAAAACAATTATGCTTCATTCGTTGGACTAAAATTTCAAAATGTGTTGTGGTAAATTATTTCATATGATAATCAAAATGTATATATTTTCTCTCAGATATTAACTGTAATTGGAACTTAACTTTAAATCAGAAGGTAGGTATAACTGTAGGGACATTAGTTTGTAGTTTCGTTGTTAAATTTACTTTTAATATTATACATTTGGCATCTAAAGGTTTACAAATAGTTTCGTTACAATGTAAACTAGTTAAATGTATATATATACTGAAAACGTACATGCAGTTCGTTTGTTACATTTAAAACACTATACTTTATCCAGCTGCAGTAAATTTTACTTGTCAATTAATTACTTTCAGAAAAGAGAACAAATTTGAAATATGATTATACTGACACATGTGAAGATAAAATAATATGACCTATGGAGACATGCATATTAGGCTTTAGTGATGGATGTATTAAACACGAATTCTGATTACCCTGCTGATGTAAAACCCAAAGAATATATGAGAACTCAAGAACTCCCAGCGAAGTATCGATGTTGCATGAAGGCACTGTCATTATGACGTCACGCTTTGTTCAGCTGGTTAGTAATGTTAATACAGTTTGACTTTGCCTGTTCTAGACTATTAAGTCACAATTTGTATCACTGATTTTAGGGTTTTAAACGTTAAACAGTAAATACAATTTTGCTTATGTCTTCACAAATTATAAATGTCATGAAAATCAAACTACCTGGGGTTTTGGGTGAATTAGCTTTGCATTTTGCATCCTTTTAACGTAGTTTATAGATTCATGAAAATCCCATTCCTGAAACTTTAATTCCCTTCTTCCTCAATTATCGCCATATATATAAAAAAGATGACATATATATATATATATATATATATATATATATATATATATATATATATATATATATATATATATATATATATATATATATAAACATATATATATATATATATATATAATCTATGGACTTTTGTATTTTTTGTATTTTATATATATATGTTTATCATCCAAAACTGACTCCCACAGGAGATATCGCTTGGATTGCATGGTAAGTGGAAGTTTTCAAAACACCTGAAGAGACGTTGAACAGCGTAAGAGCTTGTGTGGGAAGGGCAGGGCTCTGACACTGGCGGGCGAACCGATGGAGCTCCGCGAAAGGCAAGTAAAATCTCTATGTGTAAGCAATTATTATTCTATATGTAGTTACGCCACATAGAAACAGATGATAGTTGGCACTATATTGAATATAGTCACTGTCCGTCTGACGAATCACTGACCTGCTGACGTAAGATATATTAATGCGCACAATCCAGGAAACCTTGCAATGTTTAGGTATTGTTTGCGAGAGATAAAACAGGTTTATCGAGGACAGAATTTAACAATGAAATTATATGATTAAGAGGTTATGACGTTTCTGTGTTTTGGCTAAATACAATGTTTATTCCTAATACAGGATATTTACCATCCCAAAACACAATCGAGTGATAACCTCTATGCATGCTATATATATAGATATATTGGTATACATCTTAACTTGTACACGCAGCCACATAAACACGCGCGCACGCACACACGCACACACGCACATAGCATACAACGATGTTCTGGACGTTCTCATACCTCTAGTTCTGGACGCGTTTGTTAAGAACTCTCAACATACAAATACAAATGATATTCCTCTAAGACAATGTTTCGTTTGTCCGGATATTTCTCAAACCGAACGAATTCACTGGACACTGTACAAGTTTCACAGTGTGAACTTATTATGAAGATTTTCTAAAAGAGTTAAATTACTATTCACACGTGTGATCACTTACTTGTGGGTCAGTGGGTTGTCATAGTTATATTTACGGTCACGTGCAAGATCTCGGACTTTGACGCCATTCCTGTAGAGCTCCAGAGATTGGGAAACACCTGTCGAGTGACAAATTATCACATGAGTAAGTATGTTTACGGGGCTTTAAACAGTATATTATATTTACTGTTGGAGGACAGCAAGAAGTGGGGCAGGTCATAACACGTTTACCACTTTGATCAAATCAATATGGACTACATTGCTGAAATATTGTAGATGCAACGTTATTGTTCTTAACGTTCTCTGTATCCCACCCTCATCCCCTACATTACACTACATTACTGAATATTCTCACCGATATTCCCACCCTCAACCCCCTAACTCTACATTACTGAATATTCTCACCGATATTCCCACCCTCAACCCCCTAACTCTACATTACTGAATATTCTATCCGATATTCCAACCCTCATCCTCCAATACTACATTGCTGAATATTCCCACCCTCATCCCCTAACTCTACATTGCTGAATATTCCAACCCTCAGACCCTAAGACAACATTGCTGAATATTCTCACCGATATTCCCACCCTCATCCCCCTAACACTACATTGCTGAATATTCTCACCGATATTCCCACCCTCATCCCCCTAACACTACATTGCTGAATATTCTCACCGATATTCCCACCCTCGTCCCCTAATACTACATTGCTGAATATTCTCACCGATATTCCCACCCTCATCCCCCTAACACTACATTGCTGAATATTCTCACCGATATTCCTACCCTCATCCCCCTAACTCTACATTGCTGAATATTCTCACCGATATTCCTACCCTCATCCCCCTAACTCTACATTGCTGAATATTCTCACCGATATTCCTACCCTCATCCCCCTAACTCTACATTGCTGAATATTCTATCCGATATTCCTACCCTCATCCCCCTAACTCTACATTGCTGAATATTCTATCCGATATTCCTACCCTCATCCCCCTAACTCTACATTGCTGAATATTCCCACCCTCATCCCCTAACTCTACATTGCTGAATATTCCCACCCTCAGACCCTAAGACTACATTGCTGAATATTCTCACCGATATTCCCACCCTCAACCCCCTAACACTACATTACTGAATATTCTCACCGATATTCCCACCCTCAACCCCTAACACTTCATTACTGAATATTCTCACCGATATTCCCACCCTCAACCCCTAACACTACTTTGCTGAATATTCTCACCGATATTCCCATCCTTGTCCCCTAACACTACATTACTGAATATTCTCACCGATATTCCCACCCTCGTCCCCTAACACTACATTACTGAATATTCTCACCGATATTCCCACCCTCAGCCCCTAACACTACATTACTGAATATTCTCACCGATATTCCCACCCTCAGCCCCTAATACTACATTGCTGAATATTCTCACCGATATTCCCACCCTCATCCCATAACACTACATTACTGAATATTCTCACCGAAATTCCCACCCTCGTCCCCTAACTCTACATTTCTGAATATTCCCACCCTCAGACCCTAACACTACATTGCTGAATATTCTCACCGATATTCCCACCCTCATCCCCTAAGAAAACTTTGCTGAATATTCTCACCGATATTCCCACCCTCGTCCCCTAACACTACATTACTGAATATTCTCACCGATATTCCCACCCTCAACCCGTAACACTACATTACTGAATATTCTATCCGATATTCCCACCCTCAACCCCTAACACTACATTACTGAATATTCTCACCGATATTCCCACCCTCAACCCCTAACACTACTTTGCTGAATATTCTCACCGATATTCCCATCCTCGTCCCCTAACACTACATTACTGAATATTCTCACTGATATTCCCACTCTCAACCCCTAACACTACATTACTGAATATTCTCACCGATATTCCCACCCTCAACCCCTAACACTACTTTGCTGAATATTCTCACCGATATTCCCATCCTCGTCCCCTAAAACTACATTACTGAATATTCTCACTGATATTCCCACCCTCAACCCCTAACACTACATTACTGAACATTCTCACCGATATTCCCACCCTCAACCCCTTGCACTACTTTGCTGAATATTCTATCCGATATTCCCACCCTCAAACCCTAACACTACATTACTGAATATTCTCTCCGATATTCCCACCCTCAACCCCTAACACTTCATTACTGAATATTCTCACCGATATTCCCACCCTCAACCCCTAACACTACTTTGCTGAATATTCTCACCGATATTCCCATCCTCGTCCCCTAACACTATATTACTGAATATTCTCACTGATATTCCCACCCTCGTCCCATAACACTACATTACTGAATATTCTCACCGATATTCCCATCCTCGTCCCCTAACACTATATTACTGAATATTCTCACCGATATTCCCACCCTCGTCCCATGACACTACATTGCTGTATATTCCCACTCTCATCCCCTGACTCTACATTTCTGAATATTCCCACCCTCAGACCCTAAGACTACATTGCTGAATATTCTCACCGATATTCCCACCCTCATCCCCTAAGACTACTTTGCTGAATATTCTCGCCGATATTTCACCCTCATCCCCTAGCACTACATTGCTGAATATTCTAACCGATATTCCCACCCTCAACCCCCTTACACTACATTCCTGAATATCCTAACCGATATTCCCATCCTCGTCCCCTAACACTACATTGCTGAATATTCCCACTCTCGTCCCCTAACACTACAATGCTGAATATTCTCACCGATATTCCCACCCTCATCCCCTAACACTACATTGCTGAATATTCTCACCGATATTCCCACCCTCATCCCCTAAGACTACTTTGCTGAATATTCTCACCGATATTCCCACCCTCATCCCCTAAGACAACTTTGCTGAATATTCTCACCGATATTCCCACCCTCGTCCCCTAACACTACATTACTGAATATTCTCACCGATATTCCCACCCTCAACCCCTAACACTACATTACTGAATATTCTATCCGATATTCCCACCCTCAACCCCTAACACTACATTACTGAATATTCTCACCGATATTCCCACCCTCAACCCCTAACACTACTTTGCTGAATATTCTCACCGATATTCCCATCCTCGTCCCCTAACACTACATTACTGAATATTCTCACTGATATTCCCACCCTCAACCCCTAACACTACATTACTGAACATTCTCACCGATATTCCCACCCTCGTCCCCTAACACTACATTACTGAATATTCTCACCGATATTCCCACCCTCAACCCCTAACACTACTTTGCTGAATATTCTCACCGATATTCCCACCCTCGTCCCCTAACACTACATTACTGAATATTCTCACCGATATTCCCACCCTCGTCCCTTAACACTACATTACTGAATATTCTCACCGATATTCCCACCCTCAACCCCTAACACTACATTACTGAATATTCTCACCGATATTCCCACCCTCAACCCCTAACACTACTTTGCTGAATATTCTCACCGATATTCCCATCCTTGTCCCCTAACACTACATTACTGAATATTCTCACTGATATTCCCACCCTCAACCCCTAACACTACATTACTGAACATTCTCACCGATATTCCCACCCTCGTCCCCTAACACTACATTACTGAATATTCTCACCGATATTCCCACCCTCAACCCCTAACACTACTTTGCTGAATATTCTCACCGATATTCCCACCCTCGTCCCCTCACACTACATTACTGAATATTCTCACTGATATTCCCACCCTCGTCCCCTAACACTACATTACTGAATATTCTCACCGATATTCCCACCCTCAACCCCTAACACTACATTACTGAATATTCTCACCGATATTCCCACCCTCAACCCCTAACACTACTTTGCTGAATATTCTCACCGATATTCCCATCCTCGTCCCCTAACACTTCATTACTGAATATTCTCACCGATATTCCCACCCTCAACCCCTAACACTACTTTGCTGAATATTCTCACCGATATTCCCATCCTCGTCCCCTAACACTATATTACTGAATATTCTCACTGATATTCCCACCCTCGTCCCATAACACTACATTACTGAATATTCTCACCGATATTCCCACCCTCGTCCCATAACACTACATTGCTGTATATTCCCACTCTCATCCCCTGACTCTACATTTCTGAATATTCCCACCCTCAGACCCTAAGACTACATTGCTGAATATTCTCACCGATATTCCCACCCTCATCCCCTAAGACTACTTTGCTGAATATTCTCGCCGATATTTCACCCTCATCCCCTAGCACTACATTGCTGAATATTCTAACCGATATTCCCACCCTCAACCCCCTTACACTACATTCCTGAATATCCTAACCGATATTCCCATCCTCGTCCCCTAACACTACATTGCTGAATATTCCCACTCTCGTCCCCTAACACTACAATGCTGAATATTCTCACCGATATTCCCACCCTCATCCCCTAACACTACATTGCTGAATATTTCCACCCTCATCCCCTAACACTACATTACTGAATATTCCCACCCTCATCCCCTAAGACTACTTTGCTGAATATTCTCGCCGATATTCCCACTCTCGTCCCCTAACATTACATTGCTGAATATTCCCACTCTCGTCCCCTAACACTACATTGCTGAATATTCTCACCGATATTCCCACCCTCATCCCCTAACACTACATTACTGAATATTCCCACTCTCGTCCCCTAACACTACATTGCTGAATATTCTCACCGATATTCCCACCCTCATCCCCTAACACTACATTGCTGAATATCCCTACCCTCACCCCCTAACACTACATTGCTGAATATCCCTACCCTCACCCCCTAACACTACATTGCTGAATATCCCTACCCTCACCCCCTAACACTACATTGCTGAATATCCCTACACTCACCCCCTAACACTACATTGCTGAATATTCTCACCGATATCCCTACCCTCACCCCCTAACACTACATTGCTGAATATCCCTACCCTCACCCCCTAACACTACATTGCTGAATATCCCTACCCTCACCCCCTAACACTACATTGCTGAATATCCCTACCCTCACCCCCTAACACTACATTGCTGAATATCCCTACCCTCACCCCCTAACACTACATTGCTGAATATCCCTACCCTCACCCCCTAACACTACATTGCTGAATATCCCTACCCTCACCCCCTAACACTACATTGCTGAATATCCCTACCCTCACCCCCTAACACTACATTGCTGAATATCCCTACCCTCACCCCCTAACACTACATTGCTGAATATCCCTACCCTCAGCCCCTAACACTACATTGCTGAATATCCCTACCCTCACCCCCTAACACTACATTGCTGAATATCCCTACCCTCACCCCCTAACACTACATTGCTGAATATCCCTACCCTCACCCCCTAACACTACATTGCTGAATATCCCTACCCTCACCCCCTAACACTACATTGCTGAATATCCCTACCCTCACCCCCTAACACTACATTGCTGAATATCCCTACCCTCACCCCCTAACACTACATTGCTGAATATCCCTACCCTCACCCCCTAACACTACATGGCTGAATATCCCTACCCTCACCCCCTAACACTACATGGCTGAATATCCCTACCCTCACCCCCTAACACTACATTGCTGAATATCCCTACCCTCAACCCCTAACACTACATTGGTGAATATTCTCACCGATATCCCTACCCTCACCCCCTAACACTACATTGCTGAATATCCCTACCCTCACCCCCTAACACTACATTGCTGAATATCCCTACCCTCACCCCCTAACACTACATTGCTGAATATCCCTACCCTCACCCCCTAACACTACATTGCTGAATATCCCTACCCTCACCCCCTAACACTACATTGCTGAATATCCCTACCCTCACCCCTAACACTACATTGCTGAATATCCCCACCCTCAACCCCTAACACTACATTGCTGAATATCCCTACCCTCACCCCCTAACACTACATTGCTGAATATCCCTACCCTCACCCCCTAACACTACATTGCTGAATATCCCTACCCTCAACCCCTAACACTACATTGCTGAATATCCCTACCCTCACCCCCTAACACTACATTGCTGAATATCCCCACCCTCACCCCCTAACACTACATTGCTGAACATCCCCACCCTCACCCCCTAACACTACATTGCTGAATATCCCTACCCTCACCCCCTAACACTACATTGCTGAATATCCCTACCCTCACCCCCTAACACTACATTGCTGAATATCCCTACCCTCAACCCCTAACACTACATTGCTGAATATCCCTACCCTCACCCCCTAACACTACATTGCTGAATATCCCTACCCTCACCCCCTAACACTACATTGCTGAATATCCCTACCCTCACCCCCTAACACTACATTGCTGAATATCCCCACCCTCACCCCCTAACACTACATTGCTGAATATCCCCACCCTCACCCCCTAACACTACATTGCTGAATATCCCTACCCTCACCCCCTAACACTACATTGCTGAATATCCCTACCCTCACCCCCTAACACTACATTGCTGAATATCCCTACCCTCACCCCCTAACACTACATTGCTGAATATCCCTACCCTCACCCCCTAACACTACATTGCTGAATATCCCTACCCTCACCCCCTAACACTACATTGCTGAATATCCCTACCCTCACCCCCTAACACTACATTGCTGAATATCCCTACCCTCACCCCCTAACACTACATTGCTGAATATCCCTACCCTCACCCCTAACACTACATTGCTGAATATCCCTACCCTCACCCCCTAACACTACATTGCTGAATATCCCTACCCTCACCCCCTAACACTACATGGCTGAATATCCCTACCCTCACCCCCTAACACTACATGGCTGAATATCCCTACCCTCACCCCCTAACACTACATGGCTGAATATCCCTACCCTCACCCCCTAACACTACATTGCTGAATATCCCTACCCTCACCCCCTAACACTACATGGCTGAATATCCCTACCCTCACCCCCTAACACTACATGGCTGAATATCCCTACCCTCACCCCCTAACACTACATTGCTGAATATCCCTACCCTCACCCCCTAACACTACATTGCTGAATATCCCTACCCTCACCCCCTAACACTACATGGCTGAATATCCCTACCCTCACCCCCTAACACTACATGGCTGAATATCCCTACCCTCACCCCGTGACTCTGCTGACTGACATGAACATATGGTACAGATAAAAACAGTTGTTAAATTATCTTAATAAGAATTAAATAACAAGGCGCCCAGAGATTCTCTTCAAACATTATAGATTTGCATGGGCTGTATTTGATATATTTGTGTCAGGGTCTGTGAGACAGACTAGGAAAATGTGAAAGGCCTTATTGTCATTATTATAACAGAAAATGTTGAATACTGCACATACCTAGGTAATGCATGTGGTTAGCAGCTTCTGTTACATATATTGGCCCTGTGAAGGAACGGTTGGTACATGCGCCGGGGGTTCTGGCCATGGTTTTCACACTAGGCTCTCCAGGTGGGATCAGTAGGCTCTCTTGACCAGTTATCAGGATACCTGCATCATAAGCTCGCAGGACCAGGGTGAAGTAGATCGTCATTCCTGATTGGTCGAAATAGTCACTTCTCTTTTCGGGATTGTTCCAGTGCAACTGTGATAAGAGTGAATAGGTTAGAAAGGATTACCATTGACACGGCTCCGTGCTACCTACACAAGGGCAGGCAATGGCCGATTCCATGTAGGCTGCGATTGGATGACACTGAACATAGCATTCATTGGTTCTCGGTGTCGAATGTAAACAAATAGCGGACTAAGTGAAGCTTATTCGTGAGGTAAAATTGCTCTTGCCAAAATTAACATAAGCAAATCAGTTTGTTGTATTTTATCGGCAAAATCAAACTCAATTTCGTAAGTAAGGACCTTACGCATGCGCATCTATAACCGGATATGTCCAAAAGCGCTTGGGTCAAAATATTTGTATACTTTTTGTATCTGGCATGAAATTGTTTGGGTACATTGTATATGTATTACTTCTGCGAAGACATGTGATCAATTATTATTGGAAAACGTTGAAACTGAAGTGATTGTAGCGGGTTTCATCATGGTTGTAAACGTCTTACACCCGCATCACTTCCGGCTTTACTCCCACGTAGAACTAACACGCCGCGATAAATCTTTTGTTCAAAGCGGCGTCATTCCAGCTTACGCACTGACACAATTAAGGTATATAGATATCAGAAGGTCATCCCTTTGTCAGATGACAGTGTCTGCAACTTACCTGAACAGCTAACTTCTTGAAGCCGTGTACCCCCATCCGGAATCCCCCGACTCGTGGATGCAATCACCAGCGTTGCCCAATATCCAGAGGCTCACGAGGGCCCGACAGCTCCCACCAGGAAGCATGCCGCAAACAAAGGGGGCAAGGGATTCATCTTCATCTGAAAGAGGAGTAGAAGGTCAAACCTCCTTCATCCAGAACCACCTCCATGGTCTAGTGGACAGAGTGTCCGGAGACAGGTCGGTGGTTTGATCCCCTGGTCGCGTCATACCAAAAGATATATCTGTATATCAGTTTCAGACATACATGTACATGTAGTACTTTCACTGTCTCATGACAGCTCTTCAGCGTAATTGACTATGATATATGAATGGCGTTATATATATTTATATTAACGAGCTTCCCTTCGTATCCCCTTTATATACATCGTGGAATGATTTTGCCTCTCCCGAGCTTAAGCAGGGGACAAAGAAAACTGATTCCATGTGGGACCATAATTTATTACCCATCGCTTTCAAAGTTTTGATAACGCCCAACAAACATCAGATTGCGTTCTCCGCATAAGAAGAGATATTCGTAGTAATACAAGTGTTTGGTAAACCAAATGTCGACCGTATAACACATTTAAGAAAATCCTTGCACGCAGAAAAAAAATACCATGGATTAAGGTTTTGAAATAACGACATTAACGTTTAGGAGTACAATTACTGTTTTCTCAACATTTACTTTTCATATGTATAAGTTTATACACTTAAAAGTATTTTTTAAATACTTCTAGGATTTTAACACTTTGAAATTCAATCGACACAGTTCAGTCGATATGAAACGAGCGGGTCATCGTGGAGCCGACATGTTTGAATAAGCATAAACAGGGACAAGACAAGATAACAACAGCAACATTCAAGAAACAGTGTTTCAACAACATTGCTATTTATGCCTGTTTTTCATCCGAAGCCGAATCGCTCATACGTGAACTATGTCAACGTTTGACTTGGGCCGAACACGTTGTGAGGTCATTGCGAAAATGAGCGTCACCCGAATCAATGCTAATTTTAAAAACATCACCATGGATCGGACCAGAAAACACAGTGCCAACAACTTAGAAATAGTTTTCATTCCAACTGTGCTTGACTCAGAGTGTTGTTTGCACGTGACTTAGGTCCAGGTCAAGGACGGAAGTGCGCATGTACGTGCCGAGGATACCACAGGCATGGCGCGTGACACGAGGATCTGGCTAATTCCTTGTGTCCTGGCACTCCCACAACGTGCAGGTGCGATGTTGTCGCTGAGTGTTTGACGCATGATATAACGCGCACTATGGTTGGTGAGACATACGTCTGTCAACGGACAAGTTCGCATGATGGGCCTTGTTTTTCATGATACCTCCAAGTTTATATTTTCTCGCCGTTTGAAACCTGAGCCTCGCAACACCGGGGATCCCTCGGCGTGCGAAGTCAAACAGAAGGAGTGTTCAGAAGAGGAGAAAGTCGTTGGACGCAAGATTTTGTACTTCTTGGTGCGTCCAGTGGGACATCGGTCGGATCATACATCGCTGGCAGCCAACACAGACACGGGACGGGAACATGTGGTACAAATCAAAACAGGGGATTGCATCGGACATAAATTTGATCCCTGATGTGTCAAATCTGGAAATATCCTCCACGTGCCTACTATAAAACGTTTTGATAGCTCTACTGGGACCTTGACTCTTGTGAGTGAGTTTTGAGTGAGTTTGGTTTTACGCCGCTTTTAGCAATATTCCAGCAATATCACGGCGGGGGACACCAGAAATCGGCTTCACACATTGTACCCATGTCGGGATTCGAACCCGGGTCTTCGGCGTGACGAGCGAACGCTTTAACCACTAGGCTGCCCGACCGCCCCCTTGACTCTTGTAACCCTGATTATCCCTGTAACAACTTCTGAACAACGGTCGTTGACTCCACTTGACATTGTAGAAAGTGTATGCCCGATTAACTTCAAAAGGTGTGAAACGTGGACACAACAGCCTGGAGCTGCTGGACTCTTGCTTGACATGAAGGCAAGGTTGGTTGGTTGTTTTACGCCGCACTCAGCAATATTTCAGCTATATGACGGCGGTCTGTAAATAATCAAGTCTGGACCAGACAATCCAGTGACTGATATCATGAGCATCGATCCACGCAATTGGGATCGATGACATGTATCAACCAAGTCAGCGAGCCTGACCACCCGATTCCGTAAGTCGCCTTTTACGACAAGCATAGTGGCCTTTTACGGCAAGCATGGGTTGCTGAAGACCTATTCTTCCCCGGTATCTCGACATGAAGGGAAAGTTGACGGTTGGACAGTTGAAGTCATCCCTATTGGCATGCAGTCTTGTAGAGAAGTTGTTGTCACTCTGAATCTGTAAACATAGATCTAAATATGACACAGATGAGACGGTTTTGCTTGTGTCTTTTACGCCTGGTTCGGGTGGGTTGATCAGTGGAGGGGGATTGACTATTTGACCTGTTTTTGAACGAAAACTGCTAAGTTGAACATCGTTACATTTTCAGACCCGGGTGCCCGTAGTAGGCGAGATGCATCGTGTGATATTTGGTCCTGTAGACTAAAAGAGATGACTGAACGATTGTCTGTCATAGACCATTTATCTTACAGCAGCTGTTCGACACTTCAAAATGTGACTAACGTTTGAATGCGAAGGTGGTCGATGGTATATGACAAGCACGAATGCAGTTTTCGGTTTTTACATACTCCAATATCGAACTATTTTAACATCGAATTTGCGCATAAGTATCCTATTGTCGCGATTGCAGCGGCACATGAATAGACAATGTACAACGGATCAGTCACGTGTTCCGGTTGAATACCTACCACTCACACGCAATGTGATCCTTCACAAAATGTGTCGGCCATATCTGTCGATTATCAAGGCAAGGATAATAATCAAAGAATAATTGCCTATCTCTCCGACCGACCATTTAATATGCATAGGGGGCCGCTGGGATTTTATCAAAAAAGTAATTTGTCACTGAAAATTCCTAAGAATAATAATCGCCTTCAACCCAAATTACATTGTTGCGAGGTGTTTTTCGAAATTCCGGCTCATAGATTTAAATTAAAAAATCTGGTTTTGCAGCTGAAGCTGAAAAAATATCTTATCTCGATGCAAACTCCCTGTCCCCACCCAGAATATCAAATGGTCGGTCCCTACAACCATACTGCCTCGAATCTCACACATATGTTTGAAACCAGTTAGCTCAATTGGGTTTCTTATCCACAGGTGTGTGAGGAATGAATTAGTTATCTATCAATGAAAATGGTTTAAATCCGTCAATATCTATCACCTTTACTAAAAGCAGCCATCTTTATAGCATCACGTGACGTTTGATCTCGATAATCACCAGTCGAGAACCCAACCTATGTTTTATGATTTAAAGCAAACTGAATTGCTTAGGAACTGATTGATAACTGTCTCCCGGAAGCCAATCTAATCCATGACGTCATAAGCAATGGCCGATTTGGCTGACAGTTGAACTTGGCCTCTTATTTAATTCAATTCAAGAGACCGCCTCCGTGGTCTAGGGGTAGAGCGTCCGCCCGTAGAGCGGAAAGTCCGGGGTTCGATTCCCGGCCGCGTCATACCAAAAGACGTTAAAAGATGGTACTTGTTGTTACCCTGTCTGGCGCTCGGCATTAAGGGGCTAAAACAAGGACAAGCACTATAAATCGGCATCAGTCCGGACTAGTACAAGCAGCCACACACACGTGCATGCACGTCGCTGTATAAGTGCAATAATCTTAGACGTGACGTTAAATCCAATTTCACCTCACCTTATTCAAGGGCCTCTGTTCAAATTTACGTCCAACTTTATGTTCAAGCTAGAGTTGGGAATCCTAATTAAGGAGTCGAAGGCAATATATGACTCCATGTCGTTTGATAGGCTGGCCAAGTATGTTCGCGTTTATAAACATAAGACTACTCTTTGCTGATTGGCTGATAACAGAGTGGGCGGGGTTTGCGTTACATTACTGCGCTGAACAATATCACTGATCACATATCGTTGTCTTCGTTTTCGGGGTAAGGTTAAATAAGCAGTCTAAGTTATTATTGTTTACTTATTTAGTCATAAGAATTGTCTACAATATGTGTTGTGCGTTCATGGATGCAGTAACGTATACCATGATGTGCGCACTCTCCGTCCATTCGCTACAGAGACTATAAAGGAATGCAAATGAATACGATTTAAATAACTTCTCTCGAAATTTTTATATATTGTGAGTGAATGAGTTGTATTTAACGCTGCTTTTAACAGTATTCCAATTATATCGCGGTTTTATATATTATTTAAGTTTGAATGTTTATTGCACGATATACAGGTATTGGGCAAATATTTAAAAGTGTGTGTATTGTAGTATCAGTTTCATGGCCCTTACATTGAAGTATTCATCATCAACACGTATTATTCATAATAACTCACATCAACGATGTCAAGATGATGATGATGATGATGATGATGATGATGACTCAGGGACGATGATGTCAACGATGTCGGTGATGATAATGATATCGATAATTCTGACGCGATAATGAAGGTGAATGTCTCTATGATTATGATGATGTTGAAGATGACAATGATATTGAAGATGACACTGATGATGAAGATGATGATAGAGACAACGACGAGACGATGACGTATTGATGATGCTACTTTATGTGGGACGTGTGCTGTGTGAACGGGAGCCCTGCGTGCGACATATCGGCCGGGTAATTACAGGTGATAACGACCCCCGGAAATTGCAAGGATAAAATCTAGAATTACCAGCAGCAGGACCATGTGACAGCTGTGAAAGGTGGGCGTGGACTGTGAACAGCTACACACTCACAGACTATGTGGGAAGTTGAAGGGAAGCGGTCATAATCGGCATATCAGCGCAGGTGAATATACTTTTACAATTTTAGTTGTTTTACTCGAGAGATGTAAATCATTGACTGAATATATCGCCAGCGTTCAACACATGCATATCGTTGTAATATAACTGTATATATGTTGCCGTCATGTTAATATGACAATGAGTAGTATTATGGATAACAACTTCTTTGTTATACATATACAACGTTTCAGAGTTACTTCTTACCCATTCATCAGATGGATGAGGGCATTGTAATATACAGTGTCAAATTATCTACCTTTATATATTAATGATGCAGATAAACAGGGATATCGTTAGTGTCAGTTCGGATTGATCAAATATTTATATACAGTCACTACCGCTGTTGTCGCCAGGTTCGCCAGGTGTGTGTGTGTGTGTGTGTGTGTGTGTGTGTGTGTGTGTGTTTTGTTTTGTTTTGTTTGGTTATTTTGTTGGTTTGGTTTTGGAGGGGGGGGGGGGGGGGGGGGCAAAAAACTTAGAGAAAGGGGAACAAAATGAACAAGTTACTTTGAGACGGAAAAAATTTCAGATACAGCGAGCAGCATTGACATATAATATGTATAGGTACATGTAACTTCGAGACATCATTTCAGATATAGCGAGTAGCATGGATAGATAATATAAACAGGTAACTTCGAGATAGGGATATCATTTGAGATATAGCGAGTAGCATGGATAGATGATATAAACAGGTAACTTCGAGACAGGACAGCATTTGAGATATAGTGATCAGCATGGATAGATAATATAAACAGGTAACTTCGAGACAGGGACATCATTTGAGATATAGCGAGTAGCATGGATAGATAATATAAACAGGTAACTTCGAGACAGGGACATCATTTCAGATATGGTGAGTAGCATGGATAGATGATATAAACAGGTAACTTCGAGATAGGGATATCATTTGAGATATAGCGAGTAGCATGGATGGATGATATAAACAGGTAACTTCGAGACAGGGACATCATTTGAGATATAGCGATCAGCATGGATATATAATATAAACAGGTAACTTCGAGACAGGGACATCATTTGAGATATAGCGAGTAGCATGGATAGATAATATAAACAGGTAACTTCGAGATAGGGATATCATTTGAGATATAGCGAGTAGCATGGATAGATAATATAAACAGGTAACTTCGAGACAGGGACATCATTTGAGATATAGCGAGTAGCATGGATAGATAATATAAACAGGTAACTTCGAGACAGGGACATCATTTGAGATATAGCGAGTAGCATGGATAGATAATATAAACAGGTAACTTCGAGACAGGGACATCATTGAGATATAGTGAGTAGCATGGATAGATGATATAAACAGGTAACTTCGAGATAGGGATATCATTTGAGATATAGTGAGTAGCATGGATAGATAATATAAACAGGTAACTTCGAGACAGGGACATCATTTGAGATATTGTGAGTAGCATTGTGAGATAATATAAACAGGTAACTTCGAGATAGGGATATCATTTGAGATATAGCGAGTAGCATGGATAGATAATATAAACAGGTAACTTCGAGACAGGGACATCATTTGAGATATAGCGAGTAGCATGGATAGATAATATAAACAGGTAACTTCGAGACAGGGACATCATTTGAGATATAGCGAGTAGCATGGATAGATAATATAAACAGGTAACTTCGAGACAGGGACATCATTGAGATATAGTGAGTAGCATGGATAGATGATATAAACAGGTAACTTCGAGATAGGGATATCATTTGAGATATAGTGAGTAGCATGGATAGATAATATAAACAGGTAACTTCGAGACAGGGACATCATTTGAGATATTGTGAGTAGCATTGTGAGATAATATAAACAGGTAACTTCGAGACAGGGACATCATTTCAGATAAAGCGAGTAGCATGGATAGATAATATAAACAGGTAACTTCGGGACAGGGACATCATTTCAGATAAAGCGAGTAGCATGGATATATATGTACAGGTAACTTAAAGACAAGTACTTCAGTCGGTTAATATAGTCATGTCGTCGGCGCAGGTTGTCAGTCAGCCTGATACAAGGGAGGGGAACACTACCGTCGCGGAGCGGAAATAGAACTGGATGACCATCGCAGCCTGGCAAAAGTTTCAACATTGATCAATACTGATCACAGGAAGTGCTGTGTAATCCAAGACGGAACAACGCAAATCACCCTGGATTCACGAATGCTCAAAGCAACCCTTTTAAATCTGAAAATGATGACTACCCATTGCAAGTCGGTCAACGTCAATTCTATGTTGTGTAAATTAAGACTTTGCAACGTCAATTCTGTGCTCATGTAAATTAAGACTACCCAATGCAAGTTAGTCAACGTCAATTCTATGTTCATGTAAATTAAGACTGGGCAACGTCAATTCTGTGCTCATGTAAATTAAGACTACCCAATGCAAGTTAGTCAACGTCAATTCTATGTTCATGTAAATTAAGACTGGGCAATGTCAATTCTATGCTCATGTAAATTAAGACTTTGCAACGTCAATTCTGTGCTCATGTAAATTAAGACTACCCAATGCAAGTTAGTCAAGGTCAATTCTATGTTCATGTAAATTAAGACTGGGCAATGTCAATTCTGTGTTCATGTAAATTAAGACTGGGCAATGTCAATTCTATGTTCATGTAAATTAAGACTGGGCAAGGTCAATTCTGTGTTCATGTAAATTAAGACTACCCAATGCAATTTGGTCAGCTCAAACCCTGTTTAAATCGACTTCTCAACCCAAAGCCTATTTATGTCAAGACTTTAAACGAAAGCCCGGTTTATATCAAGATTGGTCAAAGCTTTCCAAGGCTGATCAACACGAATCCCGCTGAAACGTAACGCGACACAATGACAGCTGTTCGTTGCCTGTTCCTCTGCACGCGCAGGGTGCCCCGCCCCCTGGCGGCAATGGCGGCGGTGGGGATGATAACACTAACAGTATACTGTTGTACAACAGGCAAGTATGGTTATCTGTGTGTTATCTGTGTGTTATCTGTGTGTTATCTGTGTGTAACAATAGGCAGTTATCAGTGTAACAAGGGACGTCAGTCTGACTAGCGGACAAGCGTAAGTGCTGTAGTGCATCGCGTTAATATTTGTTCATCATTCCTAAAAATCATCATCATCAGCCTCGTCCACCAGCTGTGACAACATGGTGAAAGATATATACTCACGATGACAAATTGTGCGCTTAGTAGAATGGCCACGTGATACCTGTTTGGCTACACCCTCTGACATATTGCCAATACCGTCACCGACACAATTTTTAAACAGATTAAAATATGTTACTGCAAACTGGGCGTTCGTTACAGCGTCACGGCGGAAATGTTCAGCCATGTAGGAATCTGATCCGGGTTTTGATACATGAGCCGGTATTAAAAAATCGAATAATCATAGTTGTCCTGAGTAATTGATCTGGGGCTTTTATGAAATGAAAAATGATACTATCGAATTATTTTTTCTTGTGAAAGAAAACACGGACACACGTCCAACCCGAGGTTCCCGAGGATATACGTTTTTAGTAAACTTTCACAAAGCGAACGTAACGCTACGTCTGTAGTAGTTTAAGTCTGTGTTAAAGTAATAATAATTATGATAAGTGCAAGTAGATGCTCATAGCGCTACACTATTATTTCCCCGGTCAATGGATCAGTGTGCACTCGATTTTAATTCTCAGCTCCCTGGGGAGTATACAACCCAAGCTGCCTGTGAGGCGCTAGAAGGTTAACAGCCTCATTACCATCTCATCCTACCGGGTACCCACTCACTGCTGGGTGAACAGAGGCACATTTCGAACAAAGTCACTTGCCTAAGGAGACGCCACATGTGGTACATGTGCTTCAGTGTGGGGCAGGGCCTAAGCCCTAGACCTAGAAACTTTCAGGAGTCAAGCTCCTTGACGTGGTCAACCATCCAACTACTCATCATTCTGATCTGGATGTGTGATAAAGAATAATAATACATGCAATGGAAACTCTAACGCCGGTTTATCATATCTGTAGCACTAAGATATTTTAACAAGCGTATAATAGCTGTACATAGACGACTATCTCTCCTATATTTGTACTCAGACTTACACAGTGAGTGTGTGAGTGAGTATTCTGGTAGAAATAACGGACAATAATGTCTTATATGTTTTTCATTTCATCATCTACCAGGCCACAAAGTCCATCGGAAGTCAACTAGTGATGATGTAGCCAGAACGTCACAGGTAATCAGTTCGATAAATGTTACGGGTTTCAGACTTCCCTTGGTTATAAACTATGACCAGCGCATTTTTTAATTAGTGTGTACATATATCCCCCGCTGATCATGCTCAGATGTGTACATGTTTCCCATGGTGATCATGCACAGATATGTACATGTCTTCAAAGGTGATCATGCTCAGATGTGTACATGTCTTCAAAGGTGATCATGCTCAGATGTGTACATGTCTTCAAAGGTGATCATGCTCAGATGTGTACATGTTTCCCAAGGTGATCATGCCCAGATGTGTACATGTCTTCAAAGGTGATCATGCTCAGATGTGTACATGTCTTCAAAGGTGATCATGCTCAGATGTGTACATGTCTTCAAAGGTGATCATGCTCAGATGTGTACATGTTTCCCAAGGTGATCATGCCCAGATGCGTACATGTCTTCAAAGGTGATCATGGCCAGATGTGTACATGTCTTCAAAGGTGATCATGCCCAGATGCGTACATGTCTTCAAAGGTGATCATGCTCAGATGTGTACATGTCTTCAAAGGTGATCATGCTCAGATGTGTACATGTCTTCAAAGGTGATCATGCTCAGATGTGTACATGTCTTCAAAGGTGATCATGCTCAGATGTGTACATGTCTTCAAAGGTGATCATGCTCAGATGTGTACATGTCTTCAAAGGTGATCATGCTCAGATGTGTACATGTCTTCAAAGGTGATCATGCTCAGATGTGTACATGTTTCCCAAGGTGATCATGCCCAGATGCGTACATGTCTTCAAAGGTGATCATGGCCAGATGTGTACATGTCTTCAAAGGTGATCATGCCCAGATGCGTACATGTCTTCAAAGGTGATCATGCTCAGATGTGTACATGTCTTCAAAGGTGATCATGCTCAGATGTGTACATGTCTTCAAAGGTGATCATGCTCAGATGTGTACATGTGTCCCAAGGTGATCATGCCCAGATGTGTACATGTCTTCAAAGGTGATCATGCTCAGATGTGTACATGTCTTCAAAGGTGATCATGCTCAGATGTGTACATGTCTTCAAAGGTGATCATGCTCAGATGAGTACATGTTTCCCAAGGTGATCATGCCCAGATGTGTACATGTCTTCAAAGGTGATCATTCCCAGATGTGTACATGTCTTCAAAGGTGATCATGCTCAGATGTGTACATGTTTCCCAAGGTGATCATGCCCAGTTGTGTACATGTTTCCCAAGGTGATCATGCCTAGATGTGTACATGTCTTCAAACGTGATCAAGCCCAGATGTGTACATGTCTTCAAAGGTGATCATGCCCAGATGTGTACATGTCTT